AAAACATGTATTATTCTTTAGAACAATGTTAAAACTACAATTGGTATATGCTCCACAAAAATGTCATAAGAACATACGATGATGATTCGTTGTTTATAATACGCCAATTTACACTAACGGTAAATATATAATTCTGGGCATTAATTGTTTGTGCGGTTGAAACAATCTTGAAACATTTTTTTGCTGTTGAAAACTTCAACGCAACTTCAACCATTTATGATATCGTTTATCATGTTACATATATATATATATATATATATATATATACAGATTATAGTATATAATGTATTAATAAAAAGATTCTTGTACATAAATTAATATACTTTTGTGTACTTAATGCACGCTTTCGATGTAAAATTTATATTACCATATTGGTTGATGTTTTGGGTATCTTATATTAATCATAACTATAAGACACGTGCAGTGTTATGTTTTTATCGTATACATTTCAATTAAAAATTAGGTGACACGGCGCTCTAATTAGGCAATTTAGCGACACCATGAGTTCACGACACAATTAAASAATGTCATGGCTATGATATAATAATAATAATATTCAATATTAAACATTTTTTTACGAAACGCTTTAAAAAAAAAWATATGAACTAAAAAACATCAGACACGTGAAAATAATATTGAATTAGCTCTTTGTGGATAGTTCTCATATCACCTCTTTGCACTGTTGTGCAATGGCTGAGTTAAAACGATTAATCCCATTAGCTTGTCGATTTAAGTAAATTATAACCTCTAATAGGTAAACATATTTTTTAAGCTCATATAAAATAAACATCACACACTGGTATTAACTTTGCTGATACTTTTTTATTTATTTTCATTCCATCAATACTTATAAAATTTCACTTCATATGGGAATTTTACTTTCGTTATATATGCTAGGTTTCATATAATGAGGTTTTTTGGAATCCACAGGGACATGCAAAGTATTACAGCAGATGCGTAGTTTACATATTAAAAAGTAGATATTACTCCACAATTAACAGCTAATAAAATATATACTGTTCTAGAATGTGGTCGTTTATTAATACAATATACATTATACACATACGCACGTGTTACTTTTAACATGTATTCGGAAACCTGTACCTATGGTGTTTGTTTGAAAGTAAAAATATAACACACATTATTATCTCGGAAAATTATAATTGTACCTTGTTATAACGCAATCCTTGTCTTATTGTCATCCATCAGTTGTGGTGCCGTGTGCGAACGAGAGAATGCTCTCAAGTTTCATGTAGTACATGACATGTATACTCGAAGAATCGTGTAGAACTCTCGGGTGCTGGTCTCGCAATACGAATCACTTCTCTAAAAACTTTTCAAAGTACCTACCTACCAACAATCCCACACATCTTTTGTGGGTTTAATTCTCATTTTTACTAATTGAGTATAAAAATACAACTTTAGTTGAGCCTATAGAGTCTATATTTTTTACAAGCAAACAGTGTTGGGGAGAAACTATATGATTACAATCATTTAAAATTGATAATTTTAGATGAACAAACATTAATTGAATTTATAATAATAAGCAAAATGAATTTCAATGCGGTCGTAAGTATAATATTTTTGTACGTTTAGTTTTTACAAGTATTTTATAAAATGGCAAAACACAGTTTTAATATTTCCAAGTGAACGTGGATTTAATATTGTATAATACGAGTATAGTGAACACAATAATATAATGGATCATAATTCGCTGTAATAATATGATATCGCTGAACAGTTACAATATCGCTATTATTTCATAACCACGATTGTGTTTTATTTCAAATTGGATACTTTAGTGAGTGCTGGTCCTATTATTAAGTATATTATTATAATAACAGCGATTGGTCCCTTTTCGCCAATTATTTCTGCTATAGCTAGACGTATTATATAGTGGCTCGTTTATAAGAGATAAATCGCACATCGATCTGGTTTCCTCATGCAAATCTTTCCCCAAGGACCTAATACACACGCATATATAAAGGGTCACGCTTATTTCACAACATAACTAGGTATATATATATATAGATGATAGTTATAACCGATGAGTTTATGTATTATAATTTTATTCAATCACCACTCAYGATTTCGTAATGCAATATTTGGATCATCTCGTAAACATAGCGAAACTTCCACAATATAACGAAGTCGCAYGGGGAAAAGATCGTAATAAGAGGAATTCGTTAAATGGAAAATTATATATTAATTATATCATTAATGAAGGTCGCGTGGTTTTCAAAAATAATTCGTTTAACAGAAAATTTCGTAAAATAAAAGTTGATTAGGTATATGGAAGTTTCATTCTGTATATATTTTATTTTTATGTAAAACATGCATGACAACGTGTTCATTATTTTCTACGTACATGATGTATAATATAAATTAAAAACAAATGTGTATTATAATATATATATATATATATATAAGCGCGTGTGCGTGATCTAAGTAGCTTAACTCCTTCTCTTCCTCTTCTGCGACACTCGAGATGAATGACTCGAATGTAATTTATTTTTCTGCAAAAGCCGACAAATTGCCGTACAGCTAATGACGGCGACGGTGTACCGCCCGATAAGTCRGAAATTGATCGTAGGCAATAGATTTTACTTACTCCGCGTATAATACATATAAGCGATCGGTGGCGCTCCAAAAATATCGTCCCGCGTGTTTCGTCCCATTAAACACGAACGAATGTCTGCAACCACTCGTTTACAATGGTTAGGTGTATGCGTGGAATGGCGCATGTATTGTGCACGTCGTATAGATTCTCTTCTCGTGGACTTTGCAGCCTTTGTGGTAGTATATTTATCTGCACCAAAGCAAGGGCCGCCTTTATGTAATACTTATATAAATATAGGTATATTATAATATTATACATATTACATGTGTGTAGGTAGATATATATATATATATATATATATGTATATATTATATACGTTTCACAAACTCGCCACTATATACCTACGCAGCAGTCGAGAAGCGACGTATAAAACATGCAATTTATTTTCTTCGAGAACGAATTCAGTGTGCTTATAACGACACGAAAGCGTTTTCGTCGTTGATATTATCTCGACGGTATGATAACTAAAAAACAATATTCCGTTAGGTATTTCCTCACGCAAACGATTAATGCGTTTTGAAGCCCCTTCATTTCGTCTGATCACAGTGTTCGAAAACACATTTTAAATTATGATTAATATCTCGAATTGTTATAAAGACGAAACGACTTCGCTTGAATTGCAATATACTGCATCTGGTTAGAGATGCAGTATTTGTTTTCTGGATATATTTTTTTTTATATTTCAAACMGTACGAATTATACCACGGGTTACTATACATTGCAAACACAACAACTTGATAATTTTACTTTTACGTTGCTAAAAACTCATAATTTATTCATTGTTTAGAATATGCAAATTTTATAGCTACTAATACGAAAACGTATGTAGTACAATAAGCTATTACAGCTTTAGATATTTCAGGGTTTATGACTTTAGTGCGATGTTCAATGATTGTATTTATCTTCTTAAAATACACACACTCACACGCGTATTCCCGTGCTCACGGACGCGCACTTTGGTAGTTTCTMTGTGCAAAAATTTTGAGTYGGTCCCTTGTTCACCATTTGTATTATATAAGTGTTTTGAACATGAATGTTAAGTACGGAATATTATAATTACATTTCTATAATAAATGGATTTTCTTAAATAGTTTATTTCCTTTATGTGTCATAAATACTAGGTACGTTTTAAAACCCTAATAAATTAACCTTATCGATAATTTTACTCTTTCAATGTTTCCAATTGTATCGTTATTTTTCATTTTAAATCAACGTTCGTCTGCTTTACAAGGTAAGAGAACTATACACGCAGAATTTGRTTGGGGGCTTAAACTTAATTACAGCACTATTATATAATTGCGTCTACACAAACGTTGATAACTAATGTATCCCATCATATAGTGTTTTCAAAAAGCCTGAGTTTGCGAGATTCACCATTTCTATAAAATAGTWAAATTGAAATAAGTGATTTTTTTCGACACCATCACAAATGTGAAAATAAAAGCCACCATACCATGTTTTTAAGTAATACGTATGGTATGATTAATATACGTATAGGTAAATGCATATAGGATATTATGTCTTGTCTGTCTCAACATACAGTTGTCCAGGTTACCTATAGGTACCTACCGAATGTCAATAATATATACTTAATAATACTACTAGGTATATATATATTATATAATAACATACGTCCATATTCCTGCAGGCTGCAGCACTAGAATGCGCTGAATCAAATGTTATAACATTTTTATGTGCACCAAAAAATAATATAAGAATGCATCTTGTAGGTACCTGARTAGTAAATTTTTATTAACAAATAATGAGTATTGATAAGTTGATCGAACATGCAACCCTTAACAATTGTTGTTTATGTACCTAAGTATTATTAAGACTCGTATACTTATTAAATATAAAATATTATAATGTCCCTTCCTCCAATGTCCGCGTGATAGGTACCTACATTAGGTTTAAAATAACGTRATAAAATGTTTTATTTTCCAAACTCGAGGTATACACATTTTAAAGCGTTGAACACCGCATTTTTGACCGACATTTCCTTTGCACGCGTTCTATAGGTTTAACATATTTCATAAAATATATTATACTCAGCCTCGTGTTATGAATATATGAATATATATATTTATTTTAATTGTTTGGATACGACATTGTGGAAAAGTTTGATAAAACATTTGATTAGATCATAAAAAAATTTAAAATTGTAATTTTATTTAAGTGTGTTTTTTTTATAATATGATATAGGTAGGTAGGTGATACCATGAATAATTTTAATGCACTACTTATGCATTTATTATATTCATTTTAATATTTATATTAATACAGTACGATATTTTGAATTTTGAATTATTGCAAATGGCCACTATCATCTAAAGAATATTTAAACCAATATCATGAAACATTTTTTAAAAAAATTTTCCAGTTCAATTGGCACGTTGTACCAGACAGAGAAAAAAAGCGTCACAAGAATGCGGCGGAACCGGTATGGTCACCAACGATGGCTGGTGGTCTTTTCGCAATCGACAAAAAGTTCTTTGAGCGACTAGGTACATACGATAGTGGTTTCGACATATGGGGAGGTGAAAATTTAGAACTATCATTCAAGGTATGTTCAATATAAATTTATTTTTTTATTTTTTTAGTGAAGTAATACTTAAGATTGTATACTCAAATATGAGCTTTATCGCCATATGAATGATTTCTAGATTATTAAGTAGGTATGAAAACTAGCTAGAATAGAAATCTATTATTTGTAAACTATTTTTTGAAACGTGTATTCAAATTTTAACTCGACGCATAGATCGTGAATATAGCTGCAGTATCATTTAAATAGCCAATAATTTATTTTTCTTTATAATGTATGTGGGAGTGAAACCTCACGCCTTTATTTCCTATTGTATCAATTTYCCCGTTMAAATAATACCAGAACTCAGAGGGCAATTGCACCCCTTCCACACAAATGTCATCTATAAAATGAAATAAAGAGAAACTGCAGCTCATATTACCTGTTATCAAAATACCCCTTACACGATTCTTACAATTCATAATTAATATTATTAATAATTCGTCATAATATTTTATATTAATATAATATATAACATTAATGTGTTATCCTAATGTATTACTTTTGTGTGGTGCAGACGTGGATGTGTGGAGGTACGTTGGAGATAGTGCCATGTTCTCACGTTGGCCATATATTCAGAAAAAGATCGCCATACAAGTGGCGAACGGGCGTCAACGTTTTGAAGAAGAACTCCATCCGTCTAGCCGAAGTGTGGATGGACGATTACGCCAAATACTATTACGAACGGATCGGCAACGATCTGGTAAGAAATTTATCTAAAATATATTGTTTTTKATTTCACTAGTGCTCATCATGATATTTTATACTTCTACTGCTAAAAATCGTATTTTTCATATTCAACAGTTTTTAGTAATCTATATTTGTATTATGGCTACGTATACAGGCGGACAGGAGGTGATCTAAATTTAGCGTAAAAAATTTGATGGAAATCACAATTAAATTCTCTATCAATTTTATATTATAATATTTAAATAACCTTGTATATATAACCATCGGCGCTGTGAATAAAATAAAGATTCGTAGCTGAAAATATCCGAACTAAAATAACGAAAAAAAACTCAATGCTCTACAATCTACATGTTTAAAAATATTTTTTGTAATAAATAGTTTATAATTTAGATACTTATTTTTACTAATAAAACATTACTCTTACAAAAGTGCCTAATTAGTATATTATTCAATATATTATGCATTTTATTTAATTGATAGTTTTGTATTTTTGAGTTATAATTTTAAATTGATTAAAATACTTAATTTAACTAACATATTGATTTGTTTATATAAGTCAACTATATTATATACAATGTAATATAAAAATCTCATAACTTATTAAACACGTGTAGTAATTTCTATAAAATAAATTTAGGTACACGCGTATAAAGAGTTTGCAACAAATAATATGTTTTTGTTGTTTCCATTAATAACCGTTACTCAACGTCGAAAAAATATACACTTTTGTGTCTTGAATAGTTTTGAAAGCTAAAAAAATTGAATTTTCCCAATTACAAAATCAAATAATCTAACCTTTCGTCGTTTATTACATCATCCATCCGACGCGTAACGTTTAAATATGGCAATAATTACAAAAGTATTATTTTTATTGTCGTCAAAATTTATCAGCGTGAAATTCACCGGCTGAGTGATAAGACAATTATTTACTCGACTCTATTCAAAGTATAAACATATTCATTGGCTGTGTGCTAAACTGTGTTCAAGAAGAACCGCGAAGTATGATTTCATATAATTGAATAATCTTGTTTAAAAAAGGCGATCGCGCTAGAATAACTGATGTATTCACGTATTAATTTTAAATTGACATTCGAAATGAAAAGTCCAATTATCTTATAATGACTACTAACATCAAATGTATTTTTTACTGTTTTCATATTATATAAAAGACATGATTTTGTTTGATACAGGGTGATTATGGTGACATAACGTCTCGCAAAGAACTGAGAAGAAAGTTGAAGTGCAAGTCGTTCAAATGGTATTTGGAGAACATATACCCAGAACTTTTCATACCAGGCGATGCCGTGGCGTCTGGAGAGGTAAAAAAACATACATCGTGTACCAGTCTGGGAATATATATACTTAGGTCACAGTCATCATCTCTCAAAAAAGTTTTTAGGGAAATAAGTTTATCTTACAAACTTCCTAGACCCCTGTAATATTTTCTTATTTCGTTTGATTGGAAAATACTATTTCGTATGTATTTCATTTCATTGACCCGCGGAAAACAATTACTGTCTGGTTCTTTTCTAAGTGGATTTCTCTCCATCAGATGAAACATTTTGAAACTTTTGTTCCGACCACATTTATTTTTCATTAACTTCGTATTTATTTAACGCACCTAATAATATCGGGCGTACATTATACGAAATTGTATAAGTAATAACATATAATATTTACGAATTCAAACCCCTAGTAATGTTTCTTGTGTATAAATGTAGGTACTATAAATAACAATATTTTTTTATCTTTCATTAAGTATATCTACATTTTTTCAAACATCAAATTACTTATTTCCGACTTTCATATTTTATTTAGCGTTTTTATGCTTCGCATAACTGTGTTTAATATTATAAACAAAACACGAAACGAATCCCTACAGACCATATTGAATGTTGTACAAATATTTTGAAACAAATTGATGCAATTAGATCGTTTTCCGTGGAAATAGTTACTCTTTAAATAAACGCTGAAAATGTTCATAAATTAATCATACCAACTACTTTCAATAATTACAGACCTAATAGGATATATTGTTGTAAATCATTCATYAGTAAAATAACATTTGTTTGACCAATTGCAACAATTAAATATGATTATTTTTCCATACAAACTTAAAACGTAACAAATAACATGAAAGATACTAATTATTGCTATACGATTATCAATTCGACATGTTTATATTCCAAACATATGTTTCATAACGTTAGAGCGAATTATTTTTAAATTCTTTATATTTTACAACAATTTTCTAGATATAGTAAAACGGCTCGCTATTATTTACATTATTACACGTATGGTATGATATTATATTATTATAATCTATATTAATTGTGTGTAATATTTTAAACGTTGTTTAATTAAATTTGTGCATTGGGAATCAGGTGCGCAATTTAGGATACGGCAACAAAACTTGTCTGGACTCACCGGCCAGAAAAACCGACCTCAACAAACCGGCCGGACTATACCCCTGTCACAAAATGGGTGGCAATCAGGTGGGAATTTTACCTTTCTCTTACGGCACAGAGATGTGTTTTCCATACAAGGTTGTCGAGGTCGAGCCGGTACAATATGAATCAACACATCCTGTCAAGTTTTCCTGTCTTTTGCGCGTCCTTCTTGCACATTCGTTTCTGAACGATGATGATGATCCGTTTTTATTTTTAAYGAAATAATTAAGTTAAAGAAATAAACGTTAGGTCAATCATGTGCACTGTTCATGTGTAGTAGAGACTTTTATACTCCCACTTTATATAACTTAATATATGACCAGCAATAGGTGACTAATGACTAATGACTATAAATATATATATATAGCCTAAAATTATTACCCGACTCGTGTACTTAAAACACACAACGTTATCGTATGGTCCGAACGTGAAATGCCGCGTTCATCCATTTMTATTTTGCTTGTATTCATATTGTTTTGTTTTGTTTGTTTGTTTTTTTTTTTTACCCCGCATTATAGATAAAAAACGTTGTGTCGAATATGTGCGTAGACTCGAAAGGCGATGCCAACAAGCCCGTCGATTTGTGGCAGTGCCACCAACAAGGTGGTAATCAGGTAAAAATTAAATCACATACACACATGGTATATTGATTCATACATATCGACTAGATAGATTAACGATTTGATGTGCGTAATTCGCATTATACATAAACTAAAACATTTTCGGATAACATTAGCTGTTGGTGCTGGTAATCCGAAAAATAAAAAAAAAGCTTCTGGTTTGAGATTAAAAAATAAAAACCCATTACGCAAAATGTCTGTGCAGTGCATTTTAAAATAATAATGTGCCTACCTATACCATTTTCCACAAGTTTTTCGGATTAAACTCGAACGTTATTTCTACGTTCATTATAGTTCGGTGTCGAAACGCATTGTCCCATCAGCTATTATATAATATATTTATATAGGTACCAACGTAAA